TGTTCGGTTTTCCTTATCTAATAATGAGATTTATTTCACTAGATTATTAAAACGGGTGAAGAAGACAAACGAAAGAAAGAAAAGAACGCTGTACTAAACAAAAAAAAGAAGAAAAAAAAGATGGTAAGCGAGAAAAAAATAACGAGATAAATTTGAAAACTCTTTAATTGGGAAAAAACGCCCTCTCACGCGGTTTCTGAAACGTAAACGTTTACCCTAATATATTGCGTTTCTTTTTTTAAAGTTTTCAAACATACCAGAATGTTCTTACCTGTCTTAAACAATCTTTTTTTTTTCTCTGAGGTTTACCTTTTTAAACTCTCTAAATTCAGCTAGAACCTCCCTTCACAAAAAAATACGTATTTTCATACAAATAATATAGCAGGAGTCTTGTAAAGTATCCGTTCAAACCAAAATAGAATATGGCGACTATAGCTGGTCTGGAGTTGCCGATTCCTCATTTTACATTCTTCACCGAGTTCAAAATAAAGTTGAAACACCGGTTCCTGTATGATTATCAAAGTTAAGCAACATCGAGCCTGTTCAGTAGCTAGATAGACAACCACTTGGGAATACCAGGGGCTATAACCTTGAACATGTTAAGGTGTAATAGATAATAACTAGGAATTGTTAATCAGTTAAGTTCGATATATTAACTTACGTGCACATATCCTAAGAAAAGGTATGAATCAACCTCTTCGCTCAAGTTATGGTTTAATTACTAAGACTTGTAACATTAAACCATTATTACCTAAAAAAACACATTCTTAAAATCTGAAAATATAACCTGGCTTTAAATAATCTGCAAAGGGTTGATAAGCCGTAAAATATAAATGAATCAAAATCGTTAACACTAGCTGAGGGGCGATGAATAACACGCTTGTCGCTATTCTATCGCTATTTACATAGAAAATATTCAGATGATCTACATTCATTATTTTCATGATTTTAGATATTTTACAGCTGGAACCCGCCATAGCCGACATAGGTTCGAATCATCCTCATTCATTTCGACATTTAGTCAGAAGGAAAATCTATTCAAAGATCTATTTCATTACTTTGGAATACATTCACAGGAGCGTCCGAGATAACACGATAAACTAAAGCCGCATCCTGGTTAAGACGATAAATTATGTCCAAAAGCAAGGCGTCTGATCAGGAGGCTTTGAGGAGCTTGGAACCACCTCTTAATTGCTTGTGTTCCCTGGTCCTGCCTGACCCACGGTGGAAGCAATTGTTAGCGTCTCAGCTATGCGGAAATAGGGAATCTCCAAACTGGGGTCAAAGCAATATGAAAGTATAAAAATAGGTTTTAATACCAGCAATAGATTTTTGTAGGGAAACCAGTTATGAATTTTTAGAAAAAAAAAATATATTAGCAGCAATATATTTTCTTTTAAAAAAATATTACCAGCAATAAAAATCTAGTCGGCATTAAATAACCCATTGAGGTTGATATGCCGTAAAACAAAAGAAGCCAAAACCAACAATAAAGATCTTATCGGCATTAAATAACCCATTGAGGTTGATATGCCGTAAAACAAAACAAACCAAGCCAGCAATAAAAATCTTGTCGGCATTAAATAACCCATTGAGGTTGATATGCCGTAAAACAAAACAAAGCAAACCAAACCTGCAATAAAAATCTTGTCGGCATTAAATAACTCATTGTGTCACATATATCACTCGTGGGGCGGGGGCTGTTAAATATAATTCGAACAGATCTGTTCATACTGTGCTGGTCAAATTCTCTGCCTCCAGGCTGAGAGGATCCTCAGACGAGGCTAAGAGCTGAGTTTCGACTCGGAAAACAGATACCCGGCTCCGTTTTATAAGGTGTCTATGGGGAATTTTTGGCCGAGCCTAAACATTAAACTCGGTTTCGTGCCACATCCTACCTCGTGGGAAGGCTGGTAAATATAATAGTCGAATAGATTGAACGCTGGGTCAACCGACACACACTCACTAGTCGTGTAATACTCTTCTGTTGTACTTACTGTTTAATATATGATATATCTGTAACATTTGTTTTGTTATTTTTTAACCATTTACTTGGGTCACAACAATAATCGACATCCTGAACGCGAATTCTCCGCGTTTAAACGTTAGCAATTCTGGGGCAGGGTTTACTGTTAAGAAAAAAATTATCTTACTTATTATAAAACGCAGTTTGTGTGTGTGTGTGTATGTCTGTACGTTTATATATTGGATCGGATTTCCTACATTTTTCAACCGATTTCAACAAAACTTCACAGGACTACGTAAAATTACCTTGCGGTGGTTCTGATAGCGCCAAAAATGGGGAAAACACAATTGTTTTTGCACAAAATCAATTAGAAAGCACGATTAAGAGGCATCACGAGAATGAAAGGGGGACAACTCATATCGAATTATACTTACTATAAAACCCAGGTTGTTTATGTGTGTGTGTGTGTGTGTGTGTTCGTAATTTCCTACATTTTTCAACCGATTTCAACAAAACTTCACTTTTTTTTGGCAGGTAGTGTTTGTTATTGTCTTGCACACTTTTTTCTTTATTTTTACATTCAGAATGCTTTAAAAATTCCATTTACAAGACAATTTTTTATAATAAAATTCTATTCAATCGGTAGACTCATAACGATTGAAAACAATGTTTTTGTTTGAGTTTGGGTTTGACCAATTCGTAAAAAAATCTAATTAAGACATGCGTGTCCGTCAACGTTAAACAATAATCTTTGTCAATTTTATTTTTCAGTCTTTATGATGTTCGATACTTTATCTATCTCTTACTGTTACATCCCCGAGCAACGCCGGTCTCTACTGCTAGTTTGTACTATTCACTTCACAGGAAACAACATCTTTGTAAGATCTCGCCTTATAAAAGGCTCCTTTTCTAGCAAAATCAGCGAGACACTTGAAGCAAATATATCAGCACCTGCAAATAAAATGAAAAAAAAAAAGAAAAGATGGCGTTACTTATTAATTCGGTGGCGCCGAGAAACAATTAAGTAGCATTGATAACGTCACGGGAGAAAGGAATCCAGTTAGTTGACGACTTGGCTGTTGTCAGGTTTTTTCCGCGTTCACGACTTGGTAAGCGTCATCTTATGAAAGTATTTATACAAAGAAAGAATAAATTAAGAATGCCGTGGTAACCTGAAGTATTTGTCACGGAGAGAAGAGGAAGTCCTGCGTGAAGAATTATTGGTTGTCCTTAGAATTCGAAGATGACGTGTCATATCTGCCACTCATCTGTGAACTTGGTGGCCTCGAAACTCCAAGCTCGAGGCGCAGGGTCAGGAACAGTGGGGTCACTGAAAGTCTTGTCACAATCACTGCTGACGATGACGCGTGGCGTTTGTTGGAATTTTTGGGTACTCTGTTTATACTAGTGAGCCAACCAAAAGGAGCTGACTCATTTTATAGTCCACCGATAGAAGGGTTAACCAATCAGAAAGCTCAAAATATTCAATCCGACGTGTATAAAGGCAGCCATTTTGTTTTTTCTCCCAAAATATCTTCACTGCCAACCTCTGATATCGAAGACTTAAAGAATTACTTAATATCGGCTACTTTCTCTGAATCTTCACCTCTGATATTGAACACATTACGTACTTCACTGGATTCTATATTCAAAGACTACGGCAAACATGGTCAACAGCGTTGATCTCTGGCAGCGAATAAAGATGAGGATAATAGTCCGAAGAAGGTAAATAGTGTAAATAGTTATAAAACCTCATCGCAGGAATAAAGATAGAAAAATTAACAAAAAGATAGGATGAATAAAAAGAGAGAATATACACTAATTCGTATAAAGCTGAAAAGAAGGAATACATTAAAATTAGCTGTCATGAAATGTATGTCTCTCTCCGTGTCATTCAATCATAAGTTACGTCGGGGAAAGATATTGACCTCAGCAGACTTGAGTCCCGTCGTGGTGTTCCACGTTTCTCATTGCTAGGAGGAAAAAAAGTAAGATAATGAAAAAAAAATATCAATAAAAATGAGAAATATATGCTCGTCCTTTCATAGGGCTTATAAATCGCTACCTAACGGCGTCTTAACAAACCAAGTGAAGGTAATCCCTACAATAATAGGTGGCGAATAGATTGAGAAGAGTAAAAAAAAAAAAAGTGAAAATATGGACAGAAGCCAGCAGAATGGCAGAGAAAGTATGAAACTAGGTAAATAGCTTAATTTATTGCGAAAGACAAATATTAATATCTAAGCTTGATATACAACAGGAAAATGATATATCTTTTCATGACGGTGTTATATTGATGACATAGGTATCCATAGTTGGGTTCGGAATTATCTTGATAAAATATAAAAACGTGTTGAACGCAAATAACACTTGAGATAAACCTTTTCAATACAAAACATATGATCTGGAATTACTAAAAACTAAACACTTCAGTTAAATGGACAGGAAAACCGTCTCTTCCTTACTCCTATAGCATCCTTCTGGAAGTGTCCTTTCACCAAAATTGACTTTCCCAGATACCATAGGTCGGGGCTCAGGGTTGGACATGTGGAAAGGGATTGTCAGTAGGGTTCAGATCAACCATAAGAAGGTCAAAGAATGATGATGATATCAATCTGTCTAACCTATTTTTCTTTTAAATACATTTATCGTCAGATCGTTAGGTAACATATATGATAAAATATATATTTTAAGATATGTTACATGTATGTGTGCGTTAAAGTTTGAACTTGAGTGTATTCTTGCAGATAAATATTCAGGAAAATTGTAGAATTCAAAATGCAGAAAAGAGAAAATTAAAGGCGTCTGGGAAATCAAGGGAGACCATTTCAGTTGAATAGAAAATGTGTTCAATTTCAAATAAGTATTGAAAAACAAGCAAACATTTTGCACGAGGAAACGTTCACACAGATCGAAAGGAAAGGAAATAGAATAGAAAAAAAAAGAAACAATCAATTCTGGCGCACTGAATAAAAACAGGAAAAATTGAAAATGACTTAGCAGACTCTACAAATATAACTTGCTAGCTAGTAAGCTATTTGCATTTTTCTTTCTTTTTTTCTATGTATCTATATTATTGTGTTTGCATCTATCTATCTATCTATCTATCTTATTCTTTTCATATATCTCTATCTTATCTGCTCATATCTATCTATCTATCTATCTATCTATCTATCTATCTATCTATCTATCTATCTATCTTATTCTGTTCATATATCTCTATCTTATTGTGCTCATATCTATCTATCTATCTATCTATCTATCTATCTATCTATCTATCTCCAGAAAAATTAAATACAATTCTTAATCGCAGTACCTTGTCAGTCGTCTTTAACGAAACTTATATATATATATATATATATATATATATATATATATGAGTTTCGTTATATAATGTATATAATTCGTATATAATATGAGTTGAATTATGTTTCTTTTTTCATAATATATATTGTTTAAAAACGCCTGATAATTATGCACCAACACAATATATTTATATGTGTGTGTGCATGTATGTGTGTGTGTGTGTGCTTTCAAATCACCGTGAAATATTATTCGTTTGTATTTGTGTTATAAAATAATTAGTGCTTACTGCTCTTTCTAAACCAGTGGAGACATATAGTAGCCAAAAATACGAGGTAGATTCTAACTTATTTTATTATATTGCGTTTGAGTCTTGTTTATCTTAGTCAACAATACAAAACAACATACCGAAGCCAAAATGGTGGCACCCATGAAAAATCGTCGTCAGTGTTTTTATGATCAGTTATTTTCAGTAAATTGCAATCTCCCTAAAACGGTTTTTTACAACCAGGCAAAAATACTATAACAACACAGTAGTGAAGGTATTAATTTAATCATTATGATTACTTTGTATCTGTGTGGGAATTCGCTACGCTACTTGAGAACGAAGTCGTTGGGTAGTAAAAAGCAGTTATTATTATTCGAATTGTTTCGAATGTCTTTTTTTAAAATTCGGAATCACCCCAAGCAAGGCAGTAATGCCCCTAAAACACAATGGGTTACATGGTGTGGAAGTATTACGAACAGAAACATTAATGATGAGCAGGAAGTGAGGGTAGTAATCAAGTGGACACTAGGTATCGACTGATATTGCATTTAAATGTTTGCAGATTAAAACATGGAGGCGGAAGAGAGTTCTACAAAGCGAGACGTGCGAGAAAAGTAACTGTTAGCTTGGAATTTACGGCTACAACTCGTCAACTTAAGTGTAAATTATTGAGACCTCGACACCCAGTCCAATGCTGCACTTAATTTAAAAAAAATCTAGGTACCATAGCGAAGAGCTCATTTGGAAAATTACCATGAATATATATATATATATATATATATATATATATATATATATATATATATATATATATGTGTGTGTGTGTGTGTGTGTGTGTGTGTAGAGGCAATCTTATGGCGGTGGGAAAGTGACTGAAGCTGAGCCGCCAGATCAGGACCAATAATATTGCAGATTCTTTTTGGGATCTTACTAACGAACTCTAGGTAAATAGCATAGGTACCTGACCTTATGTTGCAGCAATAGTATAATCATGGACGATATATAGATATGTAAGATAGATTTCGGAGAGAAAAATTGTCTCACCCGATATAGGGTAACGACTTTCTTAAGAGTTGATCTAGCAATGGATTCAATCTAGTCTTTCTACTTCAAACGTGAGCTGAGAAGTAGCAACGAGTCATTTTCCTGGAGGTTAGCATCAGCCATGCTGGTTGAAGGGAGAGGGGAGTCTCTCAGTTGATTAATGGAAAGAAGTTTAGGTTTAGAGGCGTTAAAATCAACAAGCCATCCTTTACCTCAGTTAACTACTTGAGGTTGTTTTAGACAGCGGCTGCCATTTGGATCTCGTCAGATTGATACGCTTTACGATCGGGACAGGAGGAAATTGTTGTGTCATCAGCCTAGATCTGACGCAATCGAGAATTGAGTACGAAATGATCTGGATGAGTGGCCGTTCAAGATAACTCTCATTTCACGATTTGATAGAAAAAAAACTGGATCAATTCAAAATAGTATCCGGAGACGATGTAACTTTTTAGCTTGTGGAGAAAACCCGAATGCCAAACAATGTGAAAGGATTTCGAGATGTCCGCTGCAACAGCCCGGGTTTCACCGCTTTTATCTAGAGCAGGATAAACTCTTTCCGTAGATATCGTCATTGCATGAGCAGCTGTCTGGAAAAATGAAAGCCATATAGCTTGTCTAAGAAAAGACACTGTGATGAGTGATGATGAACCAATAAGGCCTCTAAGAGTTTACCCAAAATAGGTAGAAGGCTATAGTTGAAAAGATCAGACTGGTCACCAGACGGTGACTTTTAGCAGGAAGACAGGAGATAGCGAGGCATTTATTATACAGTTTAGAGAGAACAGGAGCCAGTTCGGGAGCACACTTAATGACTATTAAAGGGTTACCATCGGATTCACATGCTCTGTGGGGAACTAGGTTAGAATTGAAAGCGGAAACTATGGAAGGTGTTATATGCATATCACATACCAGATACTCAGTTCTAGAAACGAAGTTATGCAGGGATATTCCGGATGAGTTAAGAGCAGAGATTTTCTAAAAAGAGATAGGTTCGTGTGTAAAGTTAAGTACTGAGACATTTTTCAAAAATTGATCGCCAATTTCTTTTTAATTATGCCGCATTTTGAGTTTATATAAATAAATCTTAAAATTTAATTTTCTGAGTTTGACGTCGAGAATATTGATTGTATAGGAACAAAATGGGGAGGTCATAGCGGCGCCATTAGTTTGATCAACGTAAGCAACTTGTGTTAATGGTTAATAGTAGTCGCTTGAGAGGTTTATTTCTGCTGGCGAAAGTGTAGAAATTGTTAATTAATGTCTACTGTTTCACTAAAATGTAGTTTGCTGAGTAAATATTCACTGTCTAATATGTCGTGATTTAGTAAATTCTTTTGAGAATTTGTAATGAGTCGTAATTGCAAACTCTGGTTTCAAAATTTAGAATTACAATTTCAAAATTTGGTTGATGTTTTTGAAAAAAAAAATGTGTAGAAAGCTGTAAAATATTTATTCTTTGAGAGGCACCGATTTTGTTCGGATTTTTCAGCAAATATAATCTGGATGCATTTTCCAACGGTTTTTTTTTTAAAGTTTGAGAGATCCTATTTCGGCATTATCATCAGCAATAATTTCATTTATATTCTATAAGATTATCGGTAGTAACTTATGTGTATAATTTAGAAAATTATTTCATTGTCTAAGATGATTGCGACTTATGATAGGTAGAAAATTGTCCGAACCAAATGAAAAATAGATAAATAAATTTAATCAAGTATATATATAAATATATATATATATATATATTCCACTCTCCCGTCGAATTCGACGTATGTGTGTCAAGCAGATCAGTTCCTAGAAAACTGACAGCCCGACACTAGCACATGAGATTTGATTATAGTGGTGAAGGCTTTGAGCAGAACCATCCACACTTTTTGAAAGGCCGAATACAGAGACTTGGTGCAGTAAACGATCCTCCGCAGGATTTGAATTCAGATTTGTCCTTCTCCTAGACCAGTTGCCATCCAAGACTCGGCTCTCCGATTTCTCAATCCAAGCCGCTATCCATTACTCCACCGTGCCTCATATATATATATATATATATATATATATATATATATATATATATATATATAATTATTTATTGAAAAATATGATTCTATCGCTACATAAGAGTTCTCATGTTTTAAAAACAAGAGCCAAAATTTTAATATAATCATTTGAATTAAATTGAATTAAAGTACCAAGCTCTTAATTCAATTTAATTCAAATAATTATGTTGAAGTTTTCGGCTCTTGTTTTGAAGCATGAGACCTCTTATGTAGCGTGTTGGAATCATATTTTTAAATAAATAATTATATTTATGCTCTACTTTTGTATCGAGCACTATTTTTTCAAAATAATAACAAAAATACTAAAGAATTTTGGATTATTTACCTAACGAGTTCTTTATTATTTTCTATATATTTTTTACACACACACACACACACACACACATATATATATATATATATATATATATATTGGGTTGGTGCATAATTATCAGACGTTTTTGTAAGCGAGTTATTTGTTAATAAAAAATGCTGTGTATTTTTTTAATAAAAATTTTATTTTATTTTCAGGTTATAAAAATGCGTGTCCATAATCTTATGCTCCGGAATAAACATGTAAAAATGTTATTGTTGAATTGTTGTTTCTTTTTTCATAATGTATATTGTTAAAAACGCCTGATAATTATGCACCAAGCCGATATATATAATTATATATGGAGAGCGAGAGAGAGAGAGAGAGAGAGAGAGAGAGAGAGAGAGAGAGAGAGAGAGAGAGAGTCCCGAATATGTATCAGTCTAACAATGGAGATATTGCAAAAGTTCAATCTGATGTTTATTAGCATTGCTTTTCGAATTTATACATAAAAAATACTGAACATAAAAAGGGTTTCAGTTTTATATTGTTACTAAGTAACATATTAAATTAAACTAAATTTCCACATAACAGGGTGTGCTGAAATGTTCTCGGTTTGAATATTAAGGGATTAAAATGAAATTCTGTCGATGTGTGATTTGGTCAGATGGTGGGAAGTGGTTTGGAAGGAAAAATGTTCCGCAATCCTTTGTAGGAAAACGTCTTCCGTTTGCTTCTCTCCTGGACCCGACATCCTATTTCCTTGATGATGAAAGGAATGTCGGAATTTTATTCGAGATATCATTTCTTTGATCCAATGATGATTCATATCATAATGTCCGTTAAGAACTATTGATGCCATCTTTGGAAAAGTCTGCGAGAAGACGATTAATTTAAATGTGCCTTTTGATGTATACATCATTTCAATCAATTCGGAAGCATTTCATTCCCAGCTCCGCACCCCCACCTCACATGCGAGCGCACACACGCACACGCGAGCGCGCACACACACACATACATTCGCATTGTTAAAAGTACTCGCAAGGTACTTTTGTTAAGGTTTCTTGCATGCGAAATTTTTTTGTCTTCAGTATATTATGAGTATAGAAATGGTCAGAAAGAGTATTAAAGAATCTGCAATGTTATTGGTCTTTACCTGGCAACCCGGTTTCAGTCACTTTCCCACCGCCGTAATGTAGTTTCACAGGGTCATTTCTTGAAATAATTTCCTCTTAATTGTTCTGATAAACTTCCCACCTTGCTACCTAGACTTTATGAATTTAATCGCAGTATTACATCGGCGGTCTATTCAATTCACAAGTGACTAGAACTA